GGGAGGGAGGGAGGGAGGGGGGGAAGGAGGGAGGGAGGATACCTTTGATTTGGAGCTGCGCCGCTACGGCCAGGCCCCCAGAGCCGCCTCCAACAATGAGAATTTTGTGTTTGTCCTGTATTTCAGGTGATGTGGATGGAGGGAGGGAATGAGGAGGAATGAGGAGGAATGCCAAGGGAGGGTGCAGGATGCTGGCAGGACGACACTCTGTGTGCATTGAGGCGGTCGAGTACAGGGCATGCGGGCGCGAGCGGCGAGGGACAAGGAAACGTGGATCGGTCGTGCTTGTCAACATAAAGTGTGCCTGGCTCCGCGCGCAGGAAAGGCGGGCGTTGTCGTGTCAGGGCCGCGAAAGTCCCTCATCCCGCGTACCACATGCTTCCCCGTCCTCCCGGCTTCATCACTAAAATGTCACCTTCTGGGAACTCGAGAATCTGCTGACCGCATTCCTCTTTTCATGACTTCTGTACGAGTCCATCTCGAGTTGGAACCTTCCCACTAGATACCACCCCGACTACTCTTTGACCTCTCTCCCGCACTCCCTCTCTCCCTCTCCTCCGACCCTACCGGCTCCTCCTTGCAGGACGTCGCATAGGCCATGCCTGCACCGCTCAATAGCACGGCACTGCCTGCTAAGGCGGCCAATGCCGTCAGAAATCACTCGTGAGAACGGGGCATAGTCATGCATCCGCGAGTCTGGAGGACCCTCGCTCCTTCTTGCTGTTGCTCTCTCCCTACCTGAAGCTGCCACAAAAGCAGTCCGACGGCCAACACTTGCTGCGCGAAGGAAAAAATGTGCCATGTACACTCGTTCGAAGGCAATCCTGTTCCACAAAAAAAAGATTAGGCATACAAGATGGAGTATCGGACGTCCCATGTGTTTTTATTTTTCCAGCCTTCAAACGTCGCCGTCGCGTCGTCATTGGATACTGCGACTTGCTGGTCTCCTAGCAGGTTGAACTAGCGGCATATAGTTCACACGAACGCGACGGGAAAAGGTCAAAAGCCGAGGGCGAGATTAAGTTCTTGGATTATGTATTTGTCGAATGATTACGTCGATGTCTGATACTCAACATACGCTAGTTTTGCAAGAGTTAGAACTGATGTCTCGAAATGAATCTTCACGCAGTGAAAGTGAAATGAGCGTGTGGTGAAAACAGAAAAGAGGGAAAGTACGTGTCTGCGGAGAAAAGCGGCGATCTCTTGGCGTGGATAGTCAAAAACGACGCACGGTACGATTTCTTTGCAATTGAAGCCTTTGTGTGGTTCGCAATTGCATGCACGGACGCAGGTCGATCGTGGAACATCACGGACAAGTCTCGACTTTCTTCTTGAGGCGTCCGCGAGCGATAAGAACGTGAAGAGCGCACACGCAGATCTAGCAAGTTTTCATGGCCTTTGCATGGTGCATGCTGGCGTGTTTAATTTTTTTTTCGTTGTGTAAGACAGCCCATTTTCACAGCATGTTCGTTCCACCCACAGTGCTGTGTAGGGCCTCTGCGATGTAATACGTAAGATCGGGTTTTAAAACATTTTCAGACCCGGTGGCGGGAGGTTGTGTTCAACCTGCTCTTGTCCATTTTTCATCCCGTTCTATGATTCTTCAGATATAAGTCGGCACTTTCCCGATGCCAAATTTACAAGGATGGAAAGTCGTGGAAGGGGCTAAAAATCCTATTTCCTGTGCCCCCTGGCTTGCTTCTTACAGAAGACATGGTACATTTCAAAATACAGCCCAAAATGGGTCTTCAAAGTGGGAACTCCCGGCAGAGCACTACCACTCTGCGCGTCTGCCTGCTAGATTCTTCCTTTTCCCGTCCTGACTGCTGCTACGGCCTATGTATGCGTGAGGAAGAAGCCAGATTTAAATGCTGCGATGAAACTTCAATACAGTCAACACTAACCCCGTCTAGCAGAGACTCATGCCGCATTTCTCTCCTTTCTCTATTCATTTCTCCACCTTTTCTCCCCTTTTCTCACTGCAATGATAGCCCAACTACTTGAGGCAACCTTGCTCTTACCCCCTTTCGTCTGCGCCCCCTGATCGAACCTGGGAGAGAGAACGGTAAAAATCCTCTGATTCTTTGAGCGTAAAAGCGACGAGGGGCCATGTTCCGCAATCGACCTCAATAAAATGCGCCTGAGGGAGGATAGAGAGGGAGGCAGGGAAGCGAGGAAATGAACGGAGGCGGTAACGGGTCCGGCACGAGGGAAAGCGTTAGGGGGAGAGAGGTGGGAAATCAAGCCGGACGACGTGATGAAGGAGGGACACTTCCCAAGATAAAGGATAGATAAAGGATAGATGAAGGACAAGCCAAGAGTCCCGCATGAAAGGCATGGGTGCTTTTGATTGTTGGCTGGAAATCATTCAGCGAGCCAAAAACCCATGCGGCACCGATCCCTCCGAAACATTTCCCCTTAACCGCCCTACACGTTGATGGCGCAACATGTCGCTCGGCCACCAGCGTTTGAAATCGATGGCCATTCCCCAGTGTTTGTACTGGCCTTGCCACATGCTTCCTAAAGGTCTTAAAGATATCTGGACAGGGAGAGAGCACTAAGGGTTTCGCGTACACTCGTCTTGGTCCGTATACTGACTTCGTGACATTTAACTGAAGAAAGGAACTGAAGGTCAGAAAAAATATACTCATATCATAATCGTCTTTTCACCCACTTTTTGGGGCGTTTGTGTCAATATTCCTCTCGTTCCCATGTATACACTTCCCCGGCACCGTCGCTCACCTTTTGAATGCTCTTCAACGGGATAACCTTCGAGGCTCCGATGGGAAAATAATACCATTTGATGCAAAGTGAAGACTCTGTTAGTTTTACGAAGTCATCTTCGTAAAGAATAGAGGCCCCAACGGGCTCGGGACATGTAGCATCGAGCAAAGGTTTCTGCAAGGCGTTGTGATTGAGGTTGGAATAAGTGGCAGGAACAACGGCGTTGGACGAGGGAGGTGCCGCAGATGAGGAACTTGAAAGTGCACTGACAGTGGACATGATGATGCTCAAGTGTCGAAAGGGTAGTACTTTCATATTGTTGAGCCGGGGGTTTAGGGGCGGGGGGGGGAGGGAGTCAAAGAATGATCGACGGGTGCTTAATTGAACATGTTCGAGTACCAAGTCCACATCCAAATCGAATTTCCCACGACACTTGCGAAAAAAATCCCCAAATAGGCATACAGACACTCGGACATACTTCCCTGGGCACCCCTGCCTTGTGTATGTCCCTTGAAGGGGCATAGGCATAATCTGCAACAGCTTCAGGAGGAGGTTCGGGGCCCTCCCTCCTCCTCACCCGCATGCCCGAACCTCCCAAGCCATCGCACAGCCCTGGCTCTCCCCCCCTGACAAACTGTGCGTTCATCGACTCCGTTACATTGAAAGGCATCGGGTGGGGAGAAGGGGGGGAGGAAGCAGCTTCAATTCTGGCCTTGTGATGTGGCTTCTTTTGTTGGAACGTACGGTTATTCACGGTGTCAGAGCGCGTTACAAAGCTACGCTCCCTCGACTCCATTTTCCCGCTTTGTATTTCATATTGGTCCTAGCTTGAGTCAGAAATCTACCAAAATTTTACATTCAATGATTTTTCTCTTGCATGTGGCCAATTGATCTTCTTATCCAGCTTACGTGAAGGTAAAGCGTGCTGATCCGCTTCTTGCTCCTTGAAGGCGGCCTTCCTCCTTTCTGCACCTTACTTCTCCATGTACATGCAATTTCCTCTTATTGTTCCTTTTTTCAGATCTTCTAGTCTACTGAATTTCCAACGCCTTTCTTTCTTATCATCATGACGGTAAGTACCGTAAAAAAGATCGCTCACCGTGCTTTCCTTCCTCTCCAGTCGCCCTCCTTAGTCCTTCCATCTCCATGCTCTTTTACCTTCCTTTCTCTCAACTTCCCTCATAACAGAAGCATGGCACCTTCGATCCGACAAAGTCTCAGGTTTCTATGGAAGCCCAGCTCAATTGGTGCGTATTTAAGTGTGTGAAGGTTTGCTTGCCTTTTCATTATTTTCCCCTTTGTCCGGGCACACAGCGCCCTCTTACTTCGACAGCGTGATGTCCACTCCTTCTTTCATGTTCAACAATTACTGTCCATATCTCCATAAAATATTTCACATATCCTTCACTGAAGATTGGCATTCTCTTCCCTTCTTTCCTAAGTCATAAATCTCGCTTCACCTTCTCTCCCTTTTTAATTTTGCCGCGATACTTTCCTCCTTCATTCTGGATACCAGGCTTCGTTCTCCTATCACGGGAGACCTGCAAGAGATTCCAGGCATTGGTATGTACTTTCATCCGAACGAAGGGGTCTACTTCTTTCAACTTTTCGATCTTCTCTATCTTTCTCCTACTGCCCTTTTACATGGCCTTCCATCCTTCGTCCTTCTTTAATGATCCGCTTTCAAGGACCCAAAAACGCTCAGCATCTTCAAGACAAGCACATCCACACGACCCATCAGCTCATTGGCGAGGTATGAAGGCCGCTTGTTCTGCTTTCTTTCTTCCCTCTGTTTCATGTCGTTTTCGCCTTGTCTTTTTTCACATGGGCCCATCCAAGCTCGCTTCCCCTCCCGCTTCTTTTGCCTCCTCCTTTCCTTTTTCCACAGTACATGAAGATGAAAGGCAAGAATGTCGACCCTAAGGTGAAGTGAAAAAGCCATGAAGCAGGCTCCGGTCCGAACCCCCCACCACTATTGTAAATTCAATCTCACCATGCACGCCATGCCAGCCCTCCACATTTTCTTTGCTCGTATAGGACTATTTATGTGGAAATTCTACCTGTCCCACGAATAGCTTAATTGCGGCATGACTTTATAATCCCCGTTACTCTCTAGGATTTCTCTTACACTCGTATATAGTGAATCCTACTCGTCGAATCCTTTATTTCCCTCCAGGATCACGCCCAGCGCTTCTACGAGCACATTCAGGAATACGGGCTTGACTCCCACCGCTCCGGCATAGTCGATGCGATCGCCAGCAAGGTGGGAGAGAGGGAAGGGAACGGATTGAGAGCAAGGGAAGAAAGGTCGAAGAAGCAGGACTGTGGTCCCACGAGTTATATTGGACTGTCCGACTAGAGTCCAACTCATCGCTTCAATATTTCTTGCTTCCACTGTCCCTCCTTCCCTCCATCGTCCCGTACCCCTTCTTCCAGGTCTCTATGTGGGTGCCTGGAATGTATGATAGCGGAGCTTACGCGTCTTCTGGGGCCGCTGAGAGCAAGAATGTGGTTGATCCAGTAGCTGGTGAGGATGACGCTGCTACAACTGTTTGTGTTGCTACCTCTGAGGATGGAGGAAAGAAGGGAGAGACGGCGACAGCGGCGCCTGATGCGCCTGCGCTTGACACGAACTAGAAGGTTCGAGAGGGCTGGAGGGAGGGAGGAAGCGGAATAAGGTCTTGTCATCTCTTTACTGCCCCTGTCCGTGGTGTTAGAGGGAGGGTGGATGGGAGAGGAGAAAGACGTGCGACCAAGATGGCCTGAGGATGACCTCTCGTTGCCTCCTTCTTCTCCTTTTCTTCCCCGGGGCACCTGCAAAATGGAAGAAAATACGTAGAGAATGGAAAAGAAAGGCGGAGAAAGGGCAGGTTTGAGCTTTGGGAGAGGGTGCGGTTACCAGGGAGTGGGCAGAGAAAGCAGGACGGGGTAAGGAGAGAAGAGGGTGGAAGAGAATATCGTCCATCTGCTTTCTTCTTCTCCCTCCTAGAAATGCTTTGCTTCGAAAGTTCCCACAACAAACGTGCCCAAAAACGCATCCGCAGGATTCGTTCCCCGAATTTTCTTCTTCTCTGCACCCCTACGAGCCAGGTATTTTATTTTTATAGCCGCCATGTATCACGTACTGGAGACACTGCCTCGGATCCTACCTTCGCCCTCCTTAGATTCTTCTCTTCCCACATCTTTTGGTCACTCGGGGGCCTCGCTCAGTCACTCCTGACAACACCGCGTCCATGCCCTTGCCTCCCTCCCTCCCTCCCTCCCTCTTTCCCTCCCTCCCTCTCTACCGTCATTCCTCTCCTCTAGTCCACCCTTTTGATGAGTGTCTTGGAGCTATTAACACGTATGTGCAGATCTTACACCCATGCCTCCCTCTCTCCCTCCCTTCTTTCCTTCGTTCTCTAAAATTCGCTTACTCCTTTTCTGCCTCACCCTCGCTACACTCTTCCTTCCTTCCTTGGGCTCGGAACGACAAAATTGTTTCTCTATTTAATTATCCTGTATCTACCCGAGTCATGACATTTTACGTGTTTCTCTATTTACTCATCCTGTATCCATCAGACTGATGACGGTCTAAGCTTTCTCTATTTAATTATCCTGTATCTACCCGAGTCATGACATTTTACGTGTTTCTCTATTTACTCATCCTGTATCCATCAGACTGATGACGGTCTAAGCTTTTTCTATCTCTTTACTTTCTTTATAGGCATGTCTACGGCTTCTAAACCAAGCGAAAGCGTCTTCAATCCTTCCTTTATTTTCTCAGGATATACCGCCTTCTCTCTTCCTCCTCCGTCACCTTTCCCACCTCCTTCTTCCTCCCCTTCCCACTTAGAGGCAGAGCCTTTCGAACGCCCTCCCACGCTTCGACGCCAGTCGTTCCTTCCCTTCTCCTTCCACTCCATCCCATCCTCCCTCCCGCTCCCTGCTATGACTTGATCGAAAGGACCGAACCTCTCCTCCCCGACCAGGAGGAGGAAGGACTCAACGTGCTTTCGAATCCTATCAACGAGGTAGCCGGCGAGCGTGACATATGAGGTTGCTCCTGTCGGGGTAGTGACGGCGGAGGTACTGGCTTCTGTGGCATTCGCACTTCCAGGGCCTGGGGCTGAGGAGGGGGAAAAGGGGGAGGAAGAATACTGACTTCGTGACATTTAACTGAAGAAAGGA